TTGAACTGACCAAAGCCGAAGTTTTACGTGCGCGCCAAGTCAACATTGATCCTGCCATACGGAACAACACGTGAAACACATGTCACCAGGAGTCACGGCCAAATATCCTTTGACCCGAGTCCAAGTCACAGCCCACGACATCTCAGGAGGAGGACGCGATTTCCACAAAGATCAACTGATTGAGGCCAACTGCCCAAACGAGTGGTGTTGGGATTAGTGGACAATGATGCTTTTGCTGGCAGCAAGGAAAAGAACCCCTACCATTTCAAGCACAACAACGTGACCAGTCTCAAGCTGAAACTCAATGGGCAAGAAGTGCATGGCACCGAAATCAAAAGCGACTTTCAGGACAACAGTGCCTCGCTCAAACAGTTGTACATGAACCTGTTCCGCAACACGGGACACCTGTGGCAAGAACATCCCTGCAACCTCACCCTGACGAATTCAGGAACGGATTCACCGTGTGGGTGGTGGATCTGACGGCAGATCTGGGCGCAGATGAAGGGTATAACTACCCACGACAGACGGGCAAGTTGGGACTTGAACTTCAGTTTGCAGAACCCCTACCACGCCCCGGCCACGCCGTCTGCTACGAGGAATACGAAAAGCGCTTTTGAAATTGATCGGTTCCGCAACGCCTGATGGTCTAAGGATGGACGACGACGACAGTGGCTTGACGACCAGACACTTGAACGCCTACGCACAACAGGATCCCCTGCTGCGACCCCCTCTACCAAGGTACCTTTGCCCGAGATCACTTTGCCACCACCGTGCTGTGTGAACAGCAGGAGGGACATTATCCTAAAGCCTACATTGTCAATACGGACCCCAGCCATCTCCCAGGACAACACTGGGTGTGCGTGTATCGTCCAGTACCAGGTGCCATGGACTACTTTGACAGTTATGGACTCCATCCCTATCAACAGCATCCAGACTTTCGGAATGTCATGACCTTCGCCGGATGGCTCCAACAACGGTGGAATGGCCAGTCACTTCAACCCTGGTTCAGTGCCTCTTGTGGAATGTACTGTTTGTATGTACTGGCTCATCGTGCCCGTGGATGGTCTTTTGACGAAGTGATGGAACAGTTTGATCCCTACGATACCCTCGTCAATGAAGAACGTGTAAGACGTTGGTTTCAACCCGCACGCCTGACAGACAACAACAACAACGCTAACCATGATCCACACCCCTGCCAAAGGACACAACCTTATCGTTCTGATGTGATGATGTTACAGTTCTGATGTTACAGTTCTAATGTTACAGTTCATACCGTTTGTAAACAAAAGATCAGGGACGCCCCTAATCCTGTCTCTTTTGTCAAAGTGTTCTTGTTAGCGGGGGAAATAAAACGTTTGAAAAATGTCAACCTAGTGTTGTTATTATTGTTGTTGGCATTGAAACGAACCTTTCTTTTGAGAGAGATGGATGGCCCTGAAAAGGGCCGTTTTTTCGGAGTGTACTTCACTCCAGGGACCACAGTGGGGTCATACATTGGCAGGGATGGATGGTCATCTTTGTCTTGACGGGCACTTGCTCCCATGAGTCAAGCGGCCGGATGTACGTGTCCTTCAAGACAGTGCCACAGTACACACATTGGAAGGTACCACGATAGTCATCAGTCCCATTAGCGTAAACAGGCAGGCAGCCATGACATCGTTGGCACTGCCATGCCGGTAAGGAGGGTGGCGATGGTGCCTCCAAGGGTATCAGCTCTAACTCCCAGTTCTCCATTCTGTCCATTGTAACACTGCTTCGGTCATTCCGCTCATCCTATATAGTGAGAGCTCACGATCATGACGTCAGCGGTGCCACGTCATGACCCTCACGCGCGACCATGACGTCATCGATACCACGTCATTACCCCTCACGCGCGACCATGACGTCATCGATACCACGTCATCGATACCACGTCATCGACGACACGTCATCGCTGTCTGGTCGCCCATATATAAACTCCAGCATGGGTCAGTGAGAGCTATCTTCATGCAACATGAATACAAGAAAAGTAGAAGTCATGCGACCGACGCCTTACAGGAAAAATTGTGGTAGGCAGCAATGCCTACGATGCAGCCCTACCTTACAAGGGAAGGCTGACATCAAAAGGGAAGAGACAGAAGCAGCGGCAGCCCCACCATCCACGGCAGTACCACCTCCGCCACCGGCATGGCAATGTCTACCACCCAATTGGAAGTTCATTATATGCCAAACGTGTTGGAAAGCCTTGCCGTCCAACCAATTCGATGTCACCCCAGGTGCACCGTACTACGTGTGTACCTACTGCGGGGCGGCGTCCGCAAAGGGCTAACCATCTCCACGACGAAGTCTGCCCCGGAAATTTATTTTCCGGGGCCTCGACCTGCTCTGTCTATGTACCATCGCCACCACAAAGTGAGGTCTCACCTTCCCGTCCATACCATCACAACGGCCCTTTTCAGGGCCACCCACCTGGCTCGAAAGAATGCTACATCCAATGTTGTTTTAACCACACACACACACACACACACACTAACACTTGTCTAGCCACGCCATCGTGTCCGCCTCACCCCTCTCCCTCCCTTCCTCTCCTCCTCCTCTCCTTCCCTTCCTTCCTCCTCCGTCCCGTCCCGTCCGCCGCTCGTCCGTTCCGCCATCTTGAAAGGCGTCTACGCTCGCGAGATCCCGCGAGAATCCACGAGATCCCGCGAGATCTCACCCGATCCCACCGGATGGGGCGCCATCTTGAAACGCGTCCGCCATCTTGGCCCGGAGGTGACGTCATCGTCATGTGCGCGCACCCACCGGAACCGGTCGTGACGTCATCGCGATGCGTGCGCACCCACCGGAACCGGAAGCACCGGAACCGGAACACGAGTGATCTCCCCTGACCGGAAGTGACTGATCCAAGATGGCGGCACATCCGGTCCCGTGGGTCGCCATCTTGATCCAAGATGGCGGCGCCCATGGGGACCGGATGTGCCGCCATCTTGAAAAAGGCGCCAGGGAGACGTTACACACTACTTACAAAGCAAACTTGATAAAAACTCTATTCCGTTACAACTATCTACTTAGAGCTAAAATTGGTTTGTGGGACGGGACCCACAATGTGCATCGCCTGTTCATCAGTGCAAGACAGCTGAAACAAAAAAACTACCAAAGTTTCTGACAATCATCAAACAGCATAAGTGTCACGTGACGTAACCGACACAATGCAGAAGTCAAGTGATATAGACCATTTTTAGCCAATATGCATGACCTCGAGGTAAAATCGAAAGCGAGGCTTAAAAAGGTTGACCCAACCTTGAAAATGGCGACCTCAAAAAGGAAAGATTACTGCTGTGTGCCTTTGCGTCCGAATGATGCTGGTTAGGATTTTACGGTATCTTTTTAGGATAAGGTCATCAGAAGGCAATGGTTGACGTAAATACGGAAAGATTCTGGAAAATGATTCATACTAAGTACACAATCATTACAGGACATGGCAATAGTCTAGATCTGTCGTGAAATGTACAAACTGTTCACTATACAAGGTTTTAATATTATGGGCACATGGACAATGTGAATGTCACTCACACACATGCACATTCACCACACACACACACCCACACACACCCCACACACAAACATACATTGTCATGTTCCAAATCAGTGACCACCTCCTCCCCAAAACAAATTGGGGACCCCAGCCCCCACAAACACCGCACCTAAAATCATCATCAACCCCCGACCACCCCACCCTTCCCTAGCCATAAATTATGAACGGTCCATTATATATATTTTTTAAAGCATATGGGCATATGAACATAAGGAGACGCTCTTGTCATGAAGGCAAGGGAATTTTATTTGCAAATATTGTGTATCAGTGAAATTAGATTGGCAGCAAATCAAAGTAACATTTCAAGTACATGTATATGCAGGACACACACATGCTGTTAAAAAAACCCTTAAATATGTATCTACTTGATAGGACAAAACATTTTAAACAGAAAAAATACCAAACAAATAGTTCTATCACATGAATAATACAATTTTGTTTGGTCCAGATCCACTCGAGGTGAGCTATCTTGATATACATACTACTTATAATATCAATTATCCAGCTCAAGAATTACACAACACTACTCTCATGTGTAAGTGGATGATTTGAATCGAGGTCAGGAAATACGTTGAGTCTTTTGCCTTGTTCATATGTTGATAAAGTAAACGTGATTGACTTCCCTTGGTAATATTTCCACTATTGTGACTTTAGAGTAGCTTCCCTTCATAAATGCTGCGCAACATGGTAAAAGTTAAGCTAGATATCTAGGTCATATGACATATCGTGATGAGTCGTGAAGTACAATAATTATTCACCCTTCAATCCGTGGATATGCTTCAGAAACATTGTGTAGCCCTTTCCCATTTCTCCGCGATTTCCCTGAACTACTGGACAGTTTCGAAATGCACCGTTCAAGGGAAATTTGAAACCCTGAAGTATTCATTGAGATTTGCCACCATTGGTGCGAATGTGTCCTTGCCAAATTTAGCCTCGTTTTGGTACAAATATGAATATTCATGAGGCCTCATTAAGAATGGTCCATAATGGCATTAACTTTGTCTGTCATACTTAGCTGGAATAGTTCAATGTACATAGCTGAAAATGGCTTCTAAACCAAACTATTTATGACACTGTCAAACTCGTTGAATGGGTGAAAGTTGAGTTGATCTTTCTTCAAAATAATGTCGATGACTTGTGGACATGTGAACTGATGGTTTGTGAAACACAACAGGTAACCGAAAAAAATATTTTCCCCAGGAAACAACAAATTACACTCTCTCTCGGGTTGTTTGACTTTCGAATGCTGATTAAATGCTCTGAAAAGCTATAAAATTTCAAAGTTTGCGGTCTATGTGTGTTGTGTGTGCGCCTGTGCGTGTGTGTGCCCCAAACTCTCTACAGACCTCACCACTTCGTGGCAACTTCGGTGCATGCATGCACAGCATTCCAGGGGTTATGCGTTTTAGGGAACAATGGTACTTACGTATTCTGTGTGTCTGTGGAGCCTGTGGAGATAACAAAGACACTGTCATGCCAAACTTCTCAGCAGAATTGTGGTAGTTTCTCTATCAAGGAGCAAGTTAAAACATGAACCCTGTTTACATGTTTGTTCTCGTGTCCCAGTTAGTTGCTGCATTATACTGTACCTTAAATTTTGACAAACTTGTGATGAGGCAACATGCCTTCATTAATACATTTGAAAATACATTTTTGGTGTTGTCATGCAAGACTGTGTTTTTCTGCATACAGTACACCTACCTGGTTTCTGCAATTTACATATGCATCTGTATCCTTTCCTGGTCATAATGACAACGACGACCACAATGCCGACGACCAATACCACACCGACTGTCACTCCAGCTATTAATCCAGCTTGTGCAGGGGCTGCAGGAGCTAAAACAGAAATATCCCACATAAAAACAATACCTCACTACATTGCCACAAGGAATGGAGAATGAGATCCAGTTAAGTAAAACAAACACTGTGGTCAGAAATATATGCAAGGAGGTTGGGAGATCGGTCATAACACCAGGTGTTCATGAAATAGTTCTGCTCTCCGCTTAGCACCCTCCACTTACAGAATGAATGTCTCGAATATGTTGTCTTTCAGTGGTTGAAGAATGTGTTCTATACACCTATAAGAAAAGCTGATTACTGTTAAGTCATTGATAGATTACAGAGGGTGTCCGTGCATCTTCTATGATAGTTAAATAGTTAGTTGGTCTGGATGTAGCAGATTAGCAGTAGCTTCTAAAAGACTAGATGAAATGCAGGTTGTTACGGGTATACTAACGAATAATAAATAACAAATAACGAGAAAGATCAAATTGTTGATATTGGTTGTGAATTCAAAAGCATTAGAAAAATATATTAGTTGCGAAATCCTGCCGGCTTCTTTGGTAAGATTGTTGCACGCATATGTACCAAAGATACCAAAGATATGGTCTCGCTAAATTGTTTTTCAAAGTTTGCCAAATTTGGAAATGTTTCAGTGTTGTCATTGTTTAACATTGATTTACACTATCTATCACTTATATTTTCATAACGATAACAAGTACACAGAAAAAGGCGATGCCATGTCTCTTTGAAGTGACATGAAGTAGTACTTATATGTCCATTTATATTTGTGTACCAGTCCTTATGTAACCTAAACGGAGACCGATTATACCCGCTGGCTTTTTTTGTCGAGAAACAAAATCATTAATTGAAAGAAATATCACGAGATTGAGTTATAGCGAGTGAGTAAATAATTCTTGTTATTCACACTTAGCAATATTCCGGTGATACCTTTGCAGCATGTGAATATTGAACACTTATAAATTTAGTCTCCCCACACGACATGTGATGAGGTGGTGAGCACCTGGTTTTCCAGTGTTCTGGAGATGATCATGATGAATATATCAGTTGTGTTTATAAATATTCGTTACACGAAAGGGGCATGGTGTACGAAGTAATACGTAAATCTTTACACGGGCTGAAAGGGAAAGTAAGTAGCAAAGTGTATGACAGTATTAGGACTGCACAACGGAATCTTTGCAAGCCACATCCATCTGGAATGGATGCAAATAGGTGTAGCTTCTAAACATCACACCGATATTGAAGATTTACAAATAAAGATTCTCCCAATTCAATAACAAAATTGATTACCTCTTGAGTAAAAACACAAGCAACTAACAGCTTTACCTGAGATGATGCCTTGAATATAAAATGAGACGTACGTATACTAGTAACTTTCTTCTCCGTGAGTCCAGTCACATATTCAGTGGTGTAACTGCTGTTTCCAAACTGGTTCCTAGCGACAACCCTCACATAGTACAGTGTGTCAGAGTTGAGATCCTTGATGACTGATGTCATATAATTCCCACTCCCTGTCTCCGTATAACTCCCTGCTGTCTTCCAGTCCTTCTCATCTGTGCTGTATTCTACAGTGAATGTCTGAGTAGCTCCGCCATTGAACTCCTCCTTCCAGGAAACATGTAGAGTGAAGGGGCCTTCTGGGGAGACACTGATGTTTGTTGGGGTACCTGGTGGTCCTGGAAACAGAAGACAGATTGACACTACACTTTTGTATATCTTACCGTCATGTGAAATACTTTAATTTCATTGGTCAAGAATAGTGTGTCGGGTTAATGTCTGCATGATATGACACATCTGAATATCTGAAATAATTATTAAAGTATTTGCTAGTTTTCAAAGAGCTGTGTGGGAAATCCTCTCACCATATTTGGAGATGACTGGAAGTTAAGAATATTCGTGAAGTGTTTCAATGCATCACATTGTTGTGTTTAACCTGAACTGAACTGAACGGGGCATTAGAAGTACATGTCTACATCATTATTATGTTTAACGTGTACAACGCTAAATACGTGCAATATACACAAAATGGTAATACATAGATATTGGTTGGTGGCAAGAATAAACTGTGTAAATACACGAATTTATCCATTTAAATGAACAATGTTACTCTCATCCTTATTTGTTTTTCTAGTTTGCTTAAAGTGAGACATTATTATTTTGCAAAATATTGCTAATTTTCTAATTGTTCCCAGTATAAAGCAGTGAAGATGCTGGTTCATTTTGTGCACATTTGGGTTTCTACAGTAATACCTGTGAACATATTTTTTCCTTTTTATCTTTTCTAGGACCAAGGCAGGGCAAATTCATCTTCAATAACTTTTGAATTACAAGGTGCGTATAATCGTTCGTTAGTGAACGGAACGTTTCATCTTCATTTCAATACATGTGAAACGTAGCCACTTGTCCCTTCACAGGAGCGGGATATGTTGTGGTCGCATCAAATAAATGAACAAGACAATGTGTCTTTCAGTCAAGAGATAAGCATGACTAGACCGAGTACATATTCTTGTACGTTTGTAAGGTTGAGTCCCACCCAGGATTCGAGTCAGGCACCACATGTGACCTAATGTTTAATATTCTTAATCTGCCTTTATATACGTCCTGATTTTCCACATTTTATACACATGCACAGGATGGATGTGACAATGTATTGTTGTGCTTGTGAGCAGTTTTGGAGGCTGCTAGGAATCTCAACTGTCTTTGCTCTGGCACTCTAATTAAACTTATCTTTGTTTTCGTGGCAAGACCAAGATATGACCAGAAGGCACCGTTTTATCCTGCCCTATTTGAATGTCTAACTGCAAGGCGAATATTCAGGATACCGTGCCATCTTAGGTCTTCTTTTTGAGCCATGATAATGAAACATCACATTTGTCAGCGGGTCTGTGGTTGGATTATCTGTATTCCATAAGAACAGTGACAGTCATGTCAGCTAAACCAACAGTCAGCTTAAGCCACTATACTGTCTTACCTTCACCATTGTCTACAGTGAGTGACACTTACCTTCAGATACAATGCTGAGTGTCCATGCCCCTAGCCCACCTACACCATTATCCACGGTAAGTCTGTTATCCCCAAAGTCCTGCTGTTGGAGGTTAGTAAGGTGTAATCCTGGAGTATAGCTAAACAATTAAACGCTGTACTTTTGGTATCAACTCTCACAATGCTGACTGTGTATGAGACTGACATGCCCACACCATTGTCCACTGTCAGACTGTCGTCCCCGAAGTCTTGTTGCTGGACGTTAGTAAGGTGTAGTCTCGGAGTATATCTGGAAAATTATACAGTGCACTTTTTATATCAACTCTCACCTGTAGGCACAATGCCGACTGTGTATGGGACAGACCCGCCAACACCATTGTCCACTGTAAGACTGTAGTCCCCGAAGTCCTGATGTTGGAGGTTAGTAAGGTGTAATCTGGCAGTGACTGAGATGTCTGAGACAGGGCTGGAGGAAACAGTGAGGTGCTGGCTGGTGGTGATGGATCTACTCCAGGTGAATGTAGGAAGGGGGTAGGCCAAGATTGACACAGACAAAGTCACGTTTCCACCCAGCCTGGAGGCGTACTTGAGTTGCTTGGGCACTGTTTCATCTAGTCGAGGAGAACCTGAGAAAGCAACACTAGGGTCATAAGATTCTGAAATCACTGGAACTATGAAAACAAATATAATGAAATCACGAGAAAATGACTAACGAGAGAAAGAATACGTTTTAAAATTGTCATAGTAAAAAATCACATTTTCAAAACAGCCATGATGATAGCCCTATCACAGCTGGATATGTTCATACACGTTTAACCATGTACGCATCAACAAGTATGTGATTAGGGTGGCTGACTGTATCAGTCTGGCTTTAGTATGATTACTGCTTGCATTTTATTGCATTATTTATGGTATCCACAGGCACAGGCATGTATTATAGGGCTTCTAAAGAATACACTGGCATACACGTATATAAAAAACAAGTCAAAATTCATGAAGAAAACACTCTTCTTGAGCAGATGAATCCCTATGATATTCAAGTCACAACCTTGCTCGTCAGGACATAGCTAATGTCACTGAGCAGAACACAACCAGCGTACTTAGCCGAGGACACCACAGGAACAGTAGTGCATTACCCAAGACACTTTACCACAAGCGGAAGAGATAGTATACTAAGAATTGTCATCATTGTTGATAGTGTAACGGGGAGCACGTGTTTCGTGCAGACATTTTGCTTCCGGGTGTTGGTCGTTAACTTGCGTTAGTAACTGTACCTTTCGTTAGTCGTGGGTGCAGGAATGTATTTCCTGCGAGGTTTGGGTGTCATACTTTGATTCTGTTCCGTGGGTGGTTGAATTGTTTTCGCCGCCATTTTCTGTTGCAGTCAGGTTGTTTGGTATGAGCAATTCTGATTGGTGGTTGGCAGATTGGCTGGCCAATCGTGTCGAGGTTGTTACGTAAGACGTAGGGCAGCTGCAGGGTATTTAAGCGCGTAACACAAATTGTTCAGTGTCTGTATGATCGGCGACCAGTCAAAGGTGAGGTAATCCACCGCAATATGATGGGACAACAAGATGTTCCGTGACGGAACAATGAGTCCCGACTCCACTCCCTGTTAGGTTTCAGTGTAATTTTCGGCCAATAAAGAGAAATTGAATAGAAAGGTTGTATATAACGTGGTTAGTCGGGACGGCCGGGTGGATTTCAGCATAATGGAACATGCCAGACAATAGGATTATAGTTACAATAGTAATTCAGAATTATTTCGAATACGTCCCTCTGACATGTGATTGCCAAATCCCACGTTTGCTGGGTGGGCCTAGAGTATCCAGGACTAGGCTTGGAAGACAATCACAAAACTCACATATCTCAATGTTTACTGATAAGAGAAATACTTCTGTGTTTGATTGTTGGGACAACAGTCAAGATCGTTTCTTGCTGGTGCACTTAATAATTGGTGGACTATATAGTTCTTGGTCAATGACACCTCAGATGATGACACAGTGAGTTCTGATGACATCACTTCCGCTATCAGTACCTTTGATGACGTCACTGATGGATTCAGTTCAGACAACGTGAGACGTCTAAACCCTCATCGACATTTGGAGAAATCATTGAGGCATCCATGAATCCTGACATGTGCGCTGTAGATGGAGATGTGGTAGAACTGGGGCTGTTATCATAACAAGTTATGGGGCTATTGACGTTCCAAACGGTAGGACCATGAATGGGAATAGTCTCTCGTTGACGGCAAAGCAAACATATATCTGAGAGTCCTGATTGATAGATAAGTGGAGATATGCATCCTGCAGATCGATGGAGATCATAGAGTTCCTTATGGAGATCACCCGTCTGAGATTCCATATGGTTGAGTTGAGTTGGGTTTTACGTCACATCGATGTTATCCCAGCCATATAGTGACGACAGCAAGTCTAAAGTAATACTCTCTTCAAGTACCAAGTCCAGTTAAGTTTTATTTTAAAAGCACACATATTCATTACATTGTTATTTAACAGCAGAAATTGTCCTAGCACTAAATTCGCTATTCACAATACATAGTTACAATTTATTATACAGATCAACCTCCTTCACGTAGTTCACAATGAGATGCCCGCTCACGCGGGAAAACAGATCTTTCAGATTTGTCTCATCATAATGCGAGTCCCTTGCAGTTAAAAAATTACACACGGTCAAGCTGTATATGAGCATTTTATCGAAAGAGACACACATGGGATGTCCATCCCCATCCGTTTTCAGCAGATAGTCATGAGTAAACCGAATGTGGCCAATACGACATTATCGCAAAATTACTTCATCGCGTCCTGACTGACAATCCAAGTAGGTATGACCAATATTGGCTTTATTTGATGAAGTTGATGAGGTCCAGAGTATAACTTTTGATAGTGGGTTTGAAATCACTATAGGGGATCAGCAGTGGATATAAGGGCTTGTCAAGAGCTGCTTTAACTGCAGCATCGGCATCCAGCAGAGGACGATGTCACATTGGTTGAGTTGAGTTGAGTTGGGCTTCACGTCACATCGGCATTTTTCCAGCCATATAGTGACGAGAACAAGTCTGCATTAATATACACTGTAAGTACAAAGTGGTTTCGTTTCAAAGACACACATTCATTACATTGTCATTTTGGAACAGAATGTCATAGCACTAAATTGAAAAGCAGGTAAATTCGTTAGTGACATTACACAGTTACAATTTATGATATAGATCAACTTCCCTCAGGTAGTTCAGTATCAGATGAGCGCTCACGCCGGAGAACAGATCTTTCAGATTGGTTGCGTGATAATGCGAGTCCCTTGCAGATGTAAAGTCCACACAGTCAAGCAGAATATGCTTGCAGTCAAGCAGAATATGCTTGACGGTGAAAGTCTCATCGCAGGAGAGACATATGGGGGGGTCCATCCCCATCCGTTTTTAGCAGATAGTCATGTGTAAATCGACTGTGGCTAATACGACATCGTCGTAAAATTACTTCATCACGTCTTGACAGGCAACCCAAGTAGGTATAACCGATTGTTGGCTTCAATTCATGGAGTTTGTTTCTTCCTACTTGAGTGTCCCACCTTCTTGCATCAGGTCCCGAGTATAGCTTCTGATAGTGGGTTTGAAATCACTGTACGGGATTAGCTGTGGAGAGCTGCTTTTGCTGCAGCATCGGCCTTCGTGTTACCTGCTATGCCAACGTGACCCGGCAACCAGCAGAGGACGATGTCATATTGGCCAGTAGAAAGGTCGTTGTACAGTTCTAGTATGTCCGGCGCCCCTTGAAGAGCAACCTCCTCGTGGTGGGTGCTGGGTAACGCTAATGGCTCTTCGCCCCCGTGTGGACCCCGGTGTCGAATAGGTCCACAGCACCCCATTGCTGGTCGTAAGAGGCGATCAAATTGGGCAACCCGCTTGCCGTGGGTTGCATCCCTGTGTCGGCAGAGGAAGGGAGTCTGGTGGTTGAGGATGACGGAACCGGCAATAGCGTTCACTTATCCAACACACCACTTCGACCCTAACTTTGCCTAGACGGGTGGTAGAATAGGCCCGATTCTACCAATCGGCTGGTCACGCCTTGCCCTGTGCATGGAATGTCTACTCAAAATGTGGTATTACATAACACTTTTGACCATGTTCAAAATGTTAACAAATATTCTACGAAACAATTTAGCCTCGCAGACCCATGCACACAAGGCGGTGGCTCATGGGCCAATCTGGTGATGCTGACCTCCGATTTCTGTACGTCTCCAATTGATTGTCATGGACAGAACCATCCTGACCTTTAATCTGATAGGCAGTTACAGCATTTCATGTCAAATTCGCTGGAGTATAACATCCCCTTATCCCTGGTCTTTGCAGCTTGGAGATCCGCTGCAATATAAGATCGTCCTTGTTGACACTCCACGGTGGGTGGGGAGAGGGGATGCCGAACCACATTACCCACGACATGGCTTCCCAATACCCCGGTTCAAAACGAAGACACATGGATACCAACAATTCCTCGTCTGGCGAGAGTACGCCCCCTCGACCTGACTACTGGCCACGCTTCCTGATTATTGAGGCTTGTGACAAGCAACCTTTGCAATTGAACCCTTTTGCAATCTCCTAAGGTATCGCTGGTATCTGCGGAGAGGTTGCCAATGTCACAAAGCTCCGATCTGGCATTCTCCTGATAGAATGTACCCGGAAACACCAATCTTTAAATCTTCTCAAAATACAAGAATTTGTAAATATCAAGGTCGCTGTCTCAGCACACAAAACCCTTAATTCGTGTAGAGGCATTGTACGGGACAGAGCTCGATGCCTGTCTGACATGACTGAAGAACAAATTGTCAAGGAACTCTCTCAGCAATCCGTCACAGCCGTCAAACGATTTACCTTCAAAAAGGATGGTGTTGTTCAACCAACGAACACCTATCTCTTCACGTTTGGCGCGAGCAAACATTCCTGATTCGATTAAAGCTGGTTATTGTAGCATTGGTGTGGAGGTGTATGTCCCCAATCCACTCCGGTGCTACAACTGCCAAAAGTTTGGACATGGATCCAAGTCCTGTCGTTCCTCTGCTGTCTGTTACCGCAGTGGTGACAAGCATGAGGGCAACGACTGTACTAAGGAAGTGAAGTGCCCAAACTGCGGTGGTAACCATATGGCCTCTTCCAAGTTCTGCCCAGTATGGAAACGCGAATCCGAGATACTGAAAATTAAACACAAAGAAAATATCTCCTTTCACGAAGCAAAGAAGAGGGTTGCAAGTCTAACTGAAGCCCCTTCAACCATCACCTACTCTGCTGCTGTCTCCCGTCCTACCATCACTACTGCAACCATCTCATGTCAGACCGACCTGACATGGGTCACGTCTTCTCAGCCAACTGAACTCAACACAACTCAGCCTATCTCAGCCACTCCATCTCCAACACCAAAAGTCAAAACTTCTGAATCACAAACGCCAGAACAAATGCCAAAACCAGAGACAGAAACTGCGCACAGAAAAGGGGAAAAAAAGAGGCTAGAGAGACTAAAGCAACTCGAACAACCGCCAAACACAAAACCAAAGGCCACCTCTCCCTCAGAGGTCCCCATCGAGGTCCATAACTCCTTTGGCCCTCTGGATATGGAGGTAA